GTTTGCTATGCTGTTAAGCAATTTTTTTTTTTGTCAGTTTACAACTAGTTGGAATTGTACAACAATTTTTCTTTTTTAGTAATTTGTGTGAACTAGTGTTCTCTACGAGGTTTTTCCAATGTCATTCTTAATGGAACAGCAGGAGTCAGGCTTTCACCGGCGAGCAAACGGGTATTGACTTCTAAATTTCATTACTATTTTCTCGTTCTCATGACTAGTTGCATTATCTTTAATTAAAAATGTCCTAGTTTCATTAATTACATTTGTTGAGGGAGACAACAAATGCAACTCAGCCTTAGGATTAAAGCATGCACCCAAAACTGAAACGAAATGCTGCCAGTGTGCGCAGCACGATCTGATTTAAACTGATAACTTCTGCATGCAGGCACTTGAGTTGGTGCCAAAGAAGATACATGGAAGGTCTCCCATATTTCTTGGCAGTTAGCTGATTTTGAAGAAATTAGAGTACCGATGAGAAGAAGAAATAAATGTACAAATTAATCTCCAGCTTTCCTGTGGTGCTTAACATAGCCTTATAATAGACCCAATTCTAATAATCCCTGTTCATAAATTAAAACAAAATACAATTTTCAACTTTTAACACTGACTCTGCAACTGTAATAACGATACAAACAATTGTGCTAATGTTGTATTTGGAGTAAATGTACATTTCTTCCAAAGATTATACTTCAACATCAATCACTTTATTTAGAATATAAATAAGATAAAAGAGGGAAACACAATGATGACTTTAATATATAAGCACATTCAAGTTTAACTTACAAACATATATGATATATATATACACATTCCAATAGTTTGATGTTATACAAACAGACACTATAATCTATATATGAAAGTCTAAAAATTAATTATTCAATACAAACGTTAACAATAACAACATAATTTGTACCTAAATATATATATTATCTTAACTCTTAAGCATCAGGAAATAGAAAACCAAGATTATAAGGGCATAGACTTGCGCAATAATAGCCCATGGCTTAGTAAAATAGTTGTGGATGTAAAAAGCTCGCCATTTTGGCCACCACCTCTGGCAATAATCTCTCACATCCGAGCAAATTTGAGCATAATATAAACAGTCCATATTGGTGCCATTTTTCAGTCTGCTGAAGAAGTGAGACACATCTTCACTACTTAACCAGTTATTAAAAATGTCATCTCTGGACAGTAAATCCACATCCTCATGGGTGTCCACAAGTCCATTTAGGAGCTTTGCATAACAGGTGACTTTAGGAGGGTGGAGACGGTAACATTGCTCGAAGCTGATGAGGTTTCGGAAGATTGCTTCTGTTGTTGGGTGTATAAGTAAAGATGGGATTTCAAGAACACCATCAGTGTTGTTGAACCTTATATCCAAGATTCTTGTTGACTCAACTCTTCTGAATTTGACTCCTGCCTGTCGAAGCTCAGTAGCAGAGGGAATATTATGTCTGTTTAGCTTAAAGTGTTCATAGCCGCTTCTGGGTGGTTCTGATGAGCTGCCCAAATAATGCCATGCAAGATCGAGGATGTGGTTGATCTTTCTTGGCTGTATCTGAAGTTTGTCATATGAAAATATCCAGTAGAAAACATCAATTGCAAGTTCAACCAAAGGCTTGTCTTGTTCTGAGACTCTGGTCCGCTCATACAAGCGCTCAAGCACAAACCAAGGTATTTGGTTTTCTATCAAAAACAGGTCATGACACCGAATCGGAAGCATTGCATTGGAGAAGATGAATAGTTCACTATAGTTTATATCTATGAGCCCTTCATTCTTTCGAAGCATCTCAATAATAAAGCAGCCATCCAACAGCAAAATTTTCTCGAACTCTTGTCTGCTGTCGACATTGATGGCTCCCCAACCCCCATAGCATTCAAAAGCTTCGCTCTTCACCTGGGATACGACAATTTCCAACTCTTTAATCTTATCATCTGGACTTGGGAAACGGCGAACAAGGTTTTCAAGAAAGTGCATTTTGTACTTTTGAGCCTCCATCAGGTCTGGTTCACCAAAGTGCCAGGGACCCAATGAAAAGAAATGGGGCTTATAAGCCTGTGGATTTTGCATTTTGAGCGTGTCCGGGACTTTGAAGATGCAGGTAGCTGGGGAGATGGTAGAATCCTCTAAAAGCAATTTTTTGTAGTTGAATGTCCATGCGGCATCCAATGCGAGGTGTTCGGCGCGGTTATTATCCTCTGCCATAAATGGATCTCTTTGCAACTCTTTGATTTCTTCTGTCATTAGTGGAATATAGCACATTGACATGCGTTGGGTGTTGGTTAAAAACTTCAAAATAAAAATTCTGATTTCCTTTAAAACAGGTAAAGATAATTATAAAAAAAAAGGAAAAAATTTTGCTACCTTCTATTTTTGGACGAAAAGATGAAGGATGCTTGGTCGGAAGATAGATGGTTCTACCGATGCAGGGCCCTACAAAACCGTATATCAAACAAAAGAAAAACCTGCAACAAAACTAAAGGGTGTTAGATTGAGCTATTAGTCCCTCTCTTCTCTCTCCCAAAATAATCTTAGGAGTAATATTTTACTCAAATGATTATTTTTTTATTATTTAAGTTAAATAAATATTTTTACTATTTTATCCCTATCATTATCACTTATTTTTAATTATTAACTTTTATCACTGAAATCAGCATTATCCAACTTGCTTTCGAGTTGCTGCAATGTATGTTTTTTAAAAGAAGAAAAAAATATTATTAGAAATAGATAATAAAATTAAATATAGTATATAGAAACATGTGATATTAAATATTTAATTTGTAGATATTTTAATTAATTTAAGAGATCTTTTAATACTTTATACTAAAAATTTGTGTAATTAAAATTACTTCTACCAAACTTAACTTCTTTTCATTTGATTTAAAATATAATTAATTCTGAAACTAAAAAAAAGTTTAACAAATATATAAAATAAAAAATAATTACTACAAAAATAGCCTCAAATAGAAAAAAACAAAAAAAAATCCACACGAATGAAAAATGATATAAATTTAATGTATTTATAAAATAAATAAAAATTTTACAAAAATTACATCAATTATCATTACTATACTTAAAACTTTTACTTACTAAAATATTTTTAAAAATCAAAGTATTTATAAAATTATCATAAAGTTAAATTCATCATTTTTAGATTGACTAAGAAATACAAAAGAGAGAAAAATGGATATGGTAGAGTTGACTTATCTTCCTCGTTACTCTAGAGATTTTGACGGGCACATAGTAATATAATATTATTAATTTTGGAGAAATAAAAAAATAAAATATATTATTAAATTAAATAATTTAGT